TGGCACTATGCAGCTTTCTGAGGGGGAAGAGGTGCTCCAGCGGGGAGCGTGGGAGGTAGCCTGAAATTATGCAAATTGACATTTGGGTAGGGCAGTAGGTTAATGTTCATGGCAAAGGGCTGTGAGATTGCTAATGCCCCCACGTGGAAGGGACCAGAGTATTGCAGGGCTTCTCTGAGTCTCGAGGAAGCTGGGGCAGATGCCGAGAGCTCGATCCAGCACCCGGGCTGGTGCATGTGCTAACGGTGGCTGAGCCTGCACAGCTGCGCTTGCGAGATGCCTCCCCAAGTGGGTGGCCTGGCTGTGGTATAGCTTTACCCAGATCCACGGGACATGGAAACAGACTTGAGTGTCTTCAGTGCTCATGGGTCTTTCTTGTTCCTGATGCCAACACACCCCCTCCTCCCTGGGGAAGTCTTATGTGTTGGAATGGATCGGACTGACTTCTGGGTGCATCTGCAGCCTTCGGGTGTTAAAAGCTGCTGAGCTGAGCTGGTGGGAGGCTGTGAGGGGAGTCTGGAGCCCCTGTTCCTGTAGTAACAGATGAGTGTGGGGTGCACATGGGAGCCTGAGGGAGGTGACAAGGTGCTGACGCAGCAGGGCACATGCCAGCACGGTGCTATTGCATCATCTATGATACAGTGTTTGAGTTGCTTTCTGTCAAGGCACAGTCCCTGGAGATGAGCAGAAAGCCAGGTGTCGGGGCGGGCCATGCCAGCTGAGGCATGTACGGCATGCCAAGGCACCAAGAGCCACCCCCAGGCTGCTGTGCCTTACCCGGGGACTGCCCTGATGTGAGTGCCCCTTGGGTGTCCCCATGCTGACAGGCACCTTGGTGATGCAAGGACAGGAATCCTGCCCAGAAAGCAGCACACACGGCTCTTGTGTGCAAACTGTGACCACCTTGTACAGATAGTGCCAGGTGAGGCAGTAGAGCAGGGACACCGTCAGGAAAGATATGGGGTGAGAGGAGGGTCGGTGTACTCTGGATTTTGGTGCATAATCAGTGTCTGAGGAGCAGGTGACCTTCGTATGAGCAAGGTGGGCAGGATGAATCCCAGCTTGCTGCAGCACAGCTGAGTGTATCCCAGTACCATGCATGGAGAAGGCACTGCAGCCTGTCCCAGGACACACGTGTTCCTGCTCGATGCACGTAGCTGTAGCTTGTCCAGCCCTCTACTTCATTCCCATTCCTCATATGCCTTCGGGATTACCCCGTGCCTGGGCAAGTGAATCCTGGGCATCGCTTCTGAGTGTCAGAAGCACTGCAGAGATGAGTCACCAGCGACGCTGGAGGGGGCCCCTAGGGCTGTTCCCACCTCTGCAACTCCCGGTGCCCCGGAGCACCCTCCAGCCTTTCCCAGCCTGGTTTTGGAGTGGCCGTCTGCTCTCCAGGGCTGCA